GGGCAAGGGAAGCTCTGCCCAGCAAGGACGTGTAGGTAACTTTTCTTTTTAATGGTTCTACGGAGACTTAATTATTTTGATACCTCGTCGCTGAAGAGCCGAACCCTTGTGACCCCACCGGACCTTGCAGCCGTGTGGGTTTTATTCCAGATGCAATTTTTTAAATTTTTTTTTCCCCCTCATGATTTTATTTTGATTGGAATCTTATTAATAATTGGAACATTTCAAAGGGCCTATTTTTAACCTGGAGTGTTTTGGTAGCGTGGACGTGGAGCCTCGTGCGTGTGAACAGATGGATAAAGTACCCACAGCTCGAGGTACTGCTGGGGTTACACGAGAGGCTGAGCAGTTCCCTGCTCAGTTTCCTTTCCAAGTCCTTCCCTACACGTGTATCTTTGTGCAGGATCACTGTGTTACTCATCAGTCGAGGTGGCTGCCCGTGTAGAGCCCTTTCCAGAGCGAGGAAGCTCTCTGGGATCTCCCTTTTCCAAGGAGGGTGTTTTGCAGGAGTCCTTGTACAGCACGAGAGGGGAAGACTTCAGTCAAGGCACTCATCTCCCCACACTTCCCGGCAGCTGGGAGTGACCCCCTTGAGCTCCTCCCTGCTCGCTGCCTCTTCGCATGGGGCTGGGAAGACGTTCCTGCCCGGGCTTGGGAATGTGGAGCTTTGATCTGCAGATGCATAAGGAGGAAGGGTCAAGTTCTGAAGCAGAACAGGCTGGCAGAGAAACAGCCAGTTGGATCACGGTGATCAAAATATTATGGAGAATCCTTCTCATTTTTTGGTCCAAAGCACAAGAGAACCAAGAGCTTTCCTTTGAAGCCGAGAAGATGAGTTCATGCCTCAGTGCTTGGGAAGCTGGAGAGCTGAGCTTTGCAGTTTGTCTAAACCTTCCACAAGCACTCAAGAAAACATTTAATAATACCTCTTATCCTAGTTTTCCAGGGTGCTGCTGCTCCTCACACTCTGCTGTGTTTGCCAAAGCCTTTCCCTCTCTCCTGGCTGTGGGAGCCCCTGAGCTGTTCCTGACACGTTCCCTGCGCCTGTTCTGGGGGTGAGGTGGGGTTGTATTCTATGATTCCATTGGACAAGGGGGATGGATTGAAACTGAAAATAGATTCACTCTGGATATTGGGAAGGAATTGTTCCCTGGGAGGGTGGGGAGGCCCTGGTACAGGTTGCCCAGAGAAGCTGTGGCTGTCCCATCCCTGGAAGTGTCCAAGGCCAGGCTGGACAGGATTTGGAGCAACCTGGGCTAGTGGAAGGTGTCCCTGCCCATGGCAGGGGATGGAACCTTAATGTCCCTTCCAGCCCACACCATTCTGTGATTCTGTTTCTTTTGACCCAGTAGTTGTTTCCTCTCATTATTCATTCATATTTGCTGTTGTTCCATTTCCTTCTGGTTTTCAAGATTTTTCTCCCATTCATTGCAGGTGGTTGGACTCGTTGATCTTGGAGGGCCTTTCCAACCTGAACCATTCTATGACTTCAGGATTCCCTCCCCCTCCAACCTCACACTCCCATGCTGCACAGTTACTTGCCATGGGAGCTGTGCTGTGAGACCAGTAAAGAATCCCAGAACGGTTTGGGTTGGAAGGGACCTTAAAGATGATCCAATCCTGCCCAGGTTGCTCCGAGCCCCAGCCCTGTCTGAGCACTGGGTTGTTTGAGGACAATGTGGGACTTGTTTTCCTGCACACGTGTAGGAGAGCCTGGAGGTTTCCTTAGGCTGAGCTGGGCTACCTAACCCTGGGATTAAATACTCCATCAGAGTTTCTGTAACGCCACAGCAATAGGGAGGCTGGAGGAGAGACCTTGTGCATTTACAGGCCCTGGGAAGAGCCTTCCCTCTGGTGTATAATGGCCTTCTGTTGGCTTTTAGTAGCCTATAGTTTAGTAAATTAGGAGTCTTCAGGTACTTAGCACTTTAATGGTTCTCACTAAGAACATAATTAAACCATAGACCCCTTAGGGAGAAAAAACAGTTTATTGTGCGTATTTTTAGAACCCGTTCCCAGCCCTCGTAAAAGCTGGTGGATGGGAGGCAGGGAACAGGCCCGGGCTGGGGACCCAGAATTCCTGGGGCAGCCCCCGCCGAGCGCCGGCCCCGCTCACACCTTACAAATCTGCCCCGTGACTTGTGGAATTCATTTCCCCCCGTGTCCTTTCCGAGGGCGTTCACTGCAGCAGTTTCTCTGCGGCTGCTGGAGGGGTGAGGGAGGCACAAGGGTTGCTAATCGTTTTTTTTTTCATTTAAGAACATTTTATGTCTCGCAGAGTACCCAGCACAGGTTGCCCAGAGAAGCTGGGGCTGCCCCTGGATCCCTGGAAGTGTCCAAGGCCAGGCTGGACGGGGCTTGGAGCAACCTGGGCTAGTGGGAGGTGTCCCTGCCCGTAGCAGAGGTTTGGAAATTGATAATCTTAAAGGTCCCTTCCAACCCAACCCATCCCATGATTTTCCTTGCAGAGCAGCCACGGAGCAAAGTGTAAAGCTCAAAATCCCAGAAGTGAGCTGGGTGAGGTGATCCTGGAAAGCTTTCCCTGCTCCTGGGCTCTGACACCACTGCCTCCAGCACTGCTGTGATGCTTCCATAGGATATGATTACTCTGGGATAGAATGTGGGGAGGAATTCCCTCTCTAATGCCGGGTGCTCCCAGCACCCCTGGGCAGTGACCAACCCAGGCCCAAAAGGAAAGCAGGAAGTTTTCCATCATCCCAGGCATTCACCAGGGTGATTCACACACTGCTCTGGGTCCTTGCCTCGACACCCCATCCCGAGTAAACACGGCTTTCTCCCCGGGAAAGCTGCGCCTGCGCTCGCAGCATCTGGAAGGCATTGGGAGGAACACACACACACACACAGAGCTCCTCTCCCAGCAGCTTTTGAGGAGTATCTGGGACCTGTGAATCACTTCCCTTTACGTAGGGAAGCGTAGAATCACGGAATGGTTTGGGTTGGAAGGGACCTTAAAGCTCAGCTTGTTCACCTCGTGCAGGGACACTTTCCACTGGACCTGGTTGCTCCAACCTGGCCTTGAACTTCCTTCTGCTTCTTGTCCCAGTCCAGTGGAACCTGAGGCTGGAATTTTCTCTTTCTGCCCTTGGGCAGGTTGGGGGGACAATTTTGTGAGGCCCAGCCCAACCAAGCAGCAGGATTAATACATATTAATGTGTTAATTACAGTTGTAAGTAGATGTGTAATTACTCACGTAGCACTGTCTGCTCTCCGTGCTCCTCGGCCTTAGGTGCTAAACATTCCAACCTCTAGGACTGATACCTCAGCTGGGTCAATTTTGGTTAAAGCACTTCAAAAAAATAATAATAAAAGGAGCCAAGCAACAACCTGCCTTTTTGGGGAGGATGAAAGCATTTCTCGGCAATTTGGGCTTCAAGGTCAAATAAATAAATAAATAAATAACTTTCTTTGTGAGCCTCCCCGGCGTTCTGGGAACAAGCAGAGTAACTCAAACCAGGTCCTGTGTTGGAGGGAAGGACCCTGGGTGGCACCTGGGGCTACCCTGACCTCCAGCCCTGGCTGGAGTGGGCTTGGCAGAGCTCCCTGACCCCGGCACGGCTCCATCCGGCGCCGCGGCCCGGGGAGGAAGGATGCGGTCTCCTTGTCCTGAGGGGCTCCAGCAGCTCCAGCCCATGGAAAGCAACAACTTTATTAATCCCAGCTTTGCTAATAAGGAATTACAATAGTTGTGGGATTTGGCAAGTGGGAGCACGCTCGCTTGCCATGCATCCTACGGGATTTTCCCTGGTTTGTTTGTATTTTTGATTTAGCTACAAATAATTTAAAGATGTGTTGTGTCTCCTTTAATTAACATTCGTGTTTTCAACCTCTCTATTTTTTTGTTGCTGCAATTTTCAAACAATACCAGTGAATTTGAGGCTGTCAGATACGCTAAGATAAATTAACATTTATTTTCACTGAAATTGCAGGATTTCGTAGGGTGGCACTTATTAACATATCAGCTTTTGGGTTTGCTTCCTTTGTAAAATGTGCAGCTTCGTTGTACTGGATGGAAAATCTCCCAGTGTGAAAAAAATTCAGGCCGATAAAAGAATAATATTGTCCCAAGGCCAGTGTGTAAATACCTTAACCAGTATAACATGTTTAGAGGAATTACACTTTCCTCTCCCAAATTACGATTTTGGAAAGCGGCTCTACCGCCACATTTATTTCAAATTTAAACATTTTGAAAGAAGATCTCTGAGGTTTTGAAATCTGGTTTCCATTCCTGGCTCTGTTTGACCCTCTGCGTGACCCTGAGAAAATCTTTGTCTCGCTTTCTGTATCTGCTCAGTTGCTCTGATGATCTCCACTCGTGCAGGGCAGTTTAACATCACCCAGTGTCAAGCTGTGTGTAATATTTCAGTATTAAATAATAGTTGGCTTAATTTAAGGTGGGTTTGGGTTGTGATGAAAACAGGGAAAAGTAATAATAATAATAATGGCCAGTCTTCGCGAGCGAAGATCCGGGGAAGGTCTTTCCACCTTCCAGCCTGCGCATTGGATTTTTTTAGGTGAGACACAGTGTGCGCGGAACTGAGCCCACCCTTTAATCCTAAGGTTCATCTGCCGGGGCCAAGCGAGCTTGGACGGTGGCAGCGAGGTCCTTAGGACGTAGGTGGGTTGCCTTTAAGGGCTAACGAGCCCCACCTGCCCGGGAGTGGCCCTGACCGGGAATCGAACCCGGGTCTCCGCGGTGATAGCGCGGCGCCTTTACCCCCTAGACCACCAGGGGCTCCTACAGGGAAAAGTAAAACTCTTGGTTTGTAGGAGATGGATTGGTTTAAAAACGCGTTGGGTTTGCCTGAAAAATACTTGAACGAGGCGATTTTCCATACGAAGAAATGAGTTCCCAGAGGCCAAGGATGGCTCTCCTGCGAGGAGACTTGGGGAAAGAAATAAGGAGAGAGGCCAAAACTCTGTAACTGTCCTCAGTAATGAGCCTTGGACGGGACTGATCCCTTTTTCCTGCCCTCTTTCAGACACAGCCGGTGCCCAACCCCATCGCCTACTTCATGCACCGCTCGCCCTGGTGGTTCCACCGCTTCGAGACCCTGGTCAACCACTTCATCGAGCTGCTGGTGCCCTTCTTCCTCTTCCTGGGCCGGCGCATGTGCATCCTGCACGGCCTCCTGCAGATCCTTTTCCAGGTGAGCTGCTCCTTTTTTGCTTCCAAGGGGAACATCATCTCCCAGGATGGAGCAGAGGGTCTCTGGGGGCTGTGAAACCTCCCCCACTGCATCTGGAGCTGTGGGTGGGCTGGGCAAGGTGCAGGCACACAGACTGCTCATGCTGGCTCTGCCAGGACACGGGCACGTGTGGCAGGAGCAGCGATGGGATTCCCTGGAGCCCGTGTTCTCCGAGCAGCATCCCGAGGAACTGACTCACTTGGCTGCTCGGGAGTTCAGGCCCAAGTGACTCAAGATGATTCAGAGCCATGACCTGTTGGCTCTTGGGTGGGTCACACCACTGGGGCTGCTCTTTCTGCTTCACTGGAGGTTTGTTTCCTGTGCTGCTGCTTTGATTTCTGGCTGGCACAGAAGTGTCAGCCCAGGACTGGTGCAAAGGCTCCTGCAGCTCAGGAATACCTGCAGTTTCTCCAAAAGCTAATTTTTATAGGCATCTTTCACCTTTTCAAGAGATTCTTCTTTATATGTTTAGCATTCAGGGGCTGTTCTTTATCTCTGAAAACGTATGAGCTACTTTTCACAACCCCCAGATTTACTGAGCTGAGGTCTGTAGTGAAAATAATACCTCGAAAAATTGACGGTGTTCGTGTTGCAGTTGATTTTTGGGGTTGGGTTTTTTTGTATGTGTGTAAAACTCAGAGGACAGAAGCTCCTGCTATTTCCCAGACCCCACCTGATTTCTCTCATCCTGTCCCTGGCAGAACTCAAAGAGCTCGTTAATCCCCAGCCCCTCCGACTCGCAGCCGCTCAGCTTTTGGCCCTCGCTGCCTGTGTTTGTTCAGCATCATTTCAGCATCATGAAATTCATACTCGGTAGCTGTTACTGCTTCCTGTAAACTCACGTGATGATTAAACTGGAGAACAGCTTATAAACCCCCTCGGTAAACCACAAAAATGCTGGTCAGGTTTTAAAGGTCTGACATGAAAGCCGCGGGGTTTCTGTGCCCTCGCAGAGGTTCCCGCTCCTTCTGCTTCCCAAACGCTTCCTGTTGTGTCTGGGTGCCACTGGGCATCAGCTGGTGCCTCTGCACAGCTTTTGGGGTCAGTTTGGTTGTGCTGGGGTGGAACTTGGGCAGCTGGAGGGCCCGGCAGTGGGACAGGACAGGCCTGACCAAGGGGGGTCTCAGGGTGTTTGTCACGGGCATCACACCTGAGGTTTTTGGTGTCACTGGGAGGGTTTTATTCAGCCCAACCATAAAAAAACTCTTGTTTTGGCTCGTGGGCAGAGTAAAACCTGCCATCTCTGTGGGCTGCTTGTTGCAGAAGCAGGCAAGTGTTGAGACACGGCAGAGATCAGATCAGAAGCAGGAATTGTGAGTAGGAGCTCTGTTGTGTGTAAGGGAGGGCAGGAACGGTGGTGATGGCTCTTGCTAAGGTGAGTAGAGCTGGGAAGGAGCAGAACACCCCAGGGTGAGTGCCAGGCTTTGGCACAGAGCTGTGCCTCGGGGCAGGACTGTCCTGTGGTTCCGTGTTCACAGAAATACCAGTGCAGTGAGCTCAGGTGGTGATGTTTCATCTGCACACCTCTGCCAGATGACCAACCCACCCAACCTCCTTAAGCTGAAGGAGGGCAGGGTTAGATGGGATATTGGGAAGAAATCCTTCCCTGGGAGGGTGGGGAGGCCCTGGCACAGGCTGCCCAGAGAAGCTGTGGCTGCTCCATCCCTGGAAGTGTCCAAGGCCAGGTTGGAGCAACCTGGGCTGGTGGAAGGTGTCCCTGCCTGTGGCAGGGGAGTGGCACTGGATGAGCTGAAGGTGCCTTCTAATCCAAACCATTGTGGGACTCTCTCAGTGCCCGTCACTCATCCCCTTCTCACCCTGGGGGCTCCATCCCCAGGCAGGGCTCGTGGCCGGTGTCGCCTCCGTTGCCCTCCCGGCTCCCCCAAGGGCCCCCAACGAGCAGCACGAGCCTGGGTGTGCTGGGGGGTGTCAGACAGAGCCAGGGGGACCTGGAAAAGCCAACTCCATGCAATAAAGGCTCCTAATGACACGGAGTAAATGCAGGCATCAACAACCCCCCTTTAATTGGCACTTTATTGATAGTTGGCAATTACTGCCTTATTTCTATCACGAGGGGAGTCTGCAAAGGCAGAAAGGGTCCCAGTGTAAAATGCAGCTCTGGTGCCTTTATAGCATTTCAACAAAAACCTGTTTATTTAATATTTACTGCCCTTTTCTTCATTCAGAATGACTTTTATTGACAATACTTCTGCTCTGCAAAGGAAGCAATAAAGTTTAATGTTGATATACCACTTAATTCTGCTTTTCAAGATTTGAATTGACATTACATGCAAGTTTTATTGGACATTTTATAATTGTTATTGGAGTCATGGTGGCTAGGTTGAGTGAGTGTATTTTTCCAGATTCCAACTGGCCTGGAGAATATTGCTTTGTCAGGAACCCAAAAGAAGTTGGGCTTTAAAGAAAAAAAAAGTGAGTTTTTTTCCAAGTGTGAACTTATTCTTCTTGCCCAGTTCACGTTTGTAAGGGAAAAGGCTTAGTGAGTTTGGAAACATCAGAGGGGAGGGGCTGGGCAGTGGAGACTGTGCTGGAGGATGGGGGTCTGTCCACCCTTGGATTCCTGTGGGATTGTGCTGGTTCCAGTCTGCTGGAGCATCCTGGGCCACCTCCATGTGGGAGATCTGGGTGATGGTGACTTGGACATAAGGAGGAATTTCTTCACCAAAAGGGTTATCAAGCATTGGAATGGGCTGCCCTGGGCAGTGCTGGAGTCACCATCCTGGAAGTGTTCAGAAAACCCGTGGATGTGACATTTGAGGACATGATTTAGTGGTGAACGTGGGGGTGGTGCTGGTTGATGACTGGATTTGATGATGTTAAAGGGCTTTTCCAGCCTTGACAATTCCATGATTCTCTTGAATCCATGATTGGCTGATTTCTGTAGGAGTGGAGGGGTCTGAGCCTCAGAAATACACATGTAGATCTGAAGCACCCCCACTGTTCAGGGGGAATCGAGTCCAAAATGTGGCTTTGGGTGCCTGGAGCGGGGAGGGAGAGATCTTGGAGGGTCTTGGAGACCCCAGGTGAGGTCTGGACTCTGTTATTCTTGGTTCTGTGGAAGCATCAGGGCAGAGCCTGCCCATACCCCGAGGAGCTTGTGGTTTGAAGGGGGAGGGAGGCTGGAAGTGCTGCGTGGGGAAGGCAAGTCCTGCTGCTCGGCGGCTGTTTCGCTGTTCCCTGGAGCTGGCTCCTAAAAACCCTGAGGCTGCATGTTCTTCACGCCATCTGATGCACAGCTTACACCAGCAAACGTATTTCTTGGCTCCTTCTAAGCCAGGCAGTAAAATTACACTGCTTGGCAAAGGAGTTGATGAGGGGAAGCGAGAGGAAAGCCAAGAAAGCCAGGAAAAAGCCACCTTGCCCCTCGGAGCTGGCAGGTAGTGCCGGGCTGGAGCGCAAAGAGGAGGCTGCAGCACCCACGAGGGAGGGGGCTGAGGTTTTTTTACAGCTGGGGAGGTGGTTTTGGCTGTGCCAGATGGGAAGGAGCTTCAGTATCACAAAGGTAAAAGCCATAAATAAATACATGGAATGGAAAGTATAAGGCTGGTGCTGTTGGAAAGGCGGGGTCATTCCTTTGCTTCCACGCTGCCCTGGGTCACGGTCGTAAAGGCACAGCTTGGGGATGTGGGGAGAGCTTTAGGCTCTCAAATCCCTTTGGATTTGAATGAATTTGGGGATTCTGACTCCTTCATGTGGCCCCTGAAAACTCCTGGCATGTGCTCCAGCACGGAGCATCCTCGTGGCTGGGGAATTCCTGGAGGGGCCCTTCGTGCCTGGATGAGCTCAGCCCCCACGTCACACGGCAGGACAGAAGTTCCCCCGAGGAGCCAGAGTGGAGAAGCCTCGGGGCTGCCAGTTCTTCCCTGCCACCATTCCTGCTTCCCTGGAGGCTTGGCAGTGGAATGACATTTGGGCAATCCCGGGATGATTTTCAGCAGGAGCCGCTTGCAAAGCGGAGGGGATGACGGTGCCAAGAGCGAGGCTGAATTCCAGCCTTGGGGAAGGCAGAGGTTAAACCCCCACAGCCAAACCCCCACTCCCCCAAAGCCAGAGCCCCAGCAAAGAACCCCCCTGAGGCAGCTCCGGGGGGGACCTGCTGAGAGGGACCCCTGAGGGGGAATGTGGCAGAAACCTCAGTTCCATTCCCTTGGAAAACAAGCTCCGAGCTCTACCCTTGCCCAGCTGGGCACTGCACCAGGGACACACAACCCCTGCTCTCCTGGGAGCTGGGAATGTGCAGGAGAGTGGGCAGCAAAGTCATTTCCCTTTTTTTTTTTTTTCTTTCTAGGCAGAAAACAGTTGTTGAACAGAGATTTTCTGCCTTGGCTTGGCCAAACCCCAACCTCCTAAAAACTGGGATGGAAATGGACGTTTTCCTCTCCTCGTTGATTTTGTTCCCATCTCTCCAGTTCTGTGCAGGGGAGGCAGAGCAGGGTTTTTGCCCCGTTTCTTTTGGGAGGGGAGGACCAAGCCCCCTCTTCCCCCACCTCTGCCACGCCACAAGACGTTGGAGGGATGAACTGCCCTCGCAGCCACACACACGCAAATTGAATCAGGCTGTGGCTGTGCCACAGCTGCAACATATTGTGTTGCTGACTTAGGAGGTAGCAGAGGTCACAGCAGCAACCTGGAGAGAGGGAACAAAAATTAAACAGCCCCCCCCCCTCCTCCCCTGCAGAAAGTGTCTGAATCCAGTGTTTGTTTTCACTTGTCAGATCCGAGCTGGGGTTCGTTCCCTTTCCGGCGCTGGTGTAAATCAGAAGTGTCTCCAGGAGGATTAGCAGGGCTGCACAAGTGCCAGGCTCGTGGCAGAAGGATCAGGCCCTTGGTTAGGGCTTTAGTTCTGCACCCCCAGGACGTGTGCACTGGTCAGGGGGTTGTCTGTGAGGATAAAGCCACTGCCCCGTTTGCAGGAGGAGGGAGCAGCCAGAAAATTCGGG